TGATACGGGCTTTCCTGATTTTCTCTCCCCATCAGTCTGTGTGTGTGTGTGTGCTTACACACACACAGACACACAGACTGACTGACTGCGGTGTGAGATGAAGCTTAGCTAAAAGTTGTTTCAACAGATGCCCCTCGGCAAATGGCAGTCAAATCAGATTTGGGGTTGATTATGCTTTTAATCCAGTGAACTGGACTGTGATATCATTACATCGTGTTATGTTTTGCCTGCTCGACTGAACCACCAGTACCCTAAATTGTGTTACACTGACAACACAGCTTTGCAATGTGCAAATTAGCACTGTATATAACTGTACATCTTTCTGATAAAATATAAATAGCTATGGTGCAATGCAGTACAATTGAATGTATGCTATATCAATCTGAATATGTTTTTATTTGATCACAAAAAGCAATTTTTACACACTATGTATGTTGTTAAAAAAAACTAATTTCCACAGAAACTCAGAATAAGGCTTTCTGGGTAACCGTGAGGCTCCCACCCACAGATACCGAAGGCTTCAATAACAAGCGAGGGGACTCAGGCAGGAATCACTGCGCACCAAAACCTGACCAACGTGAGGTGAGGCAGGAGAAGAGATAACCGTGTGTAGATTGACGCCGTGGACATGAATAATAACTCATGCATATCAAGATTAACAGAATGCTAAACAAAGGATGATAATAGCCATACAACTGATGCCTCCAGTTTGAAAAGCATGGCCTCCACACAAGTTTATGTCACAGCAATACCAAATATACGCACGCAGTGAACTGAAGATGCTTCCCCTGATGCCAGTATACTGCCTTCAGCTCAGGCACTGGAAGCACTCATCCAGAGGGATTCATTTATTTCTTCACTGACTCTATTACAAAACCACTGAAACCTAGTCTATTGCTGCAAATATACTCCAGAGTGAGTTTGCAAATGGATGCCTCAATAGGATATATTGCTGAGATTGAAAGCTGATGAAAAGGATGTTCACAAACGTCGTATTTAACGACAAACAACATGTAAGAACATTTATGAGAATTTGAACTGTTGCTGTAAATTGAGCAAGAGAAGCCTTCATCGCAGTAATGAAACTCAAGGAATATCACAAAAAGTGTTAGACTTGTTGCTGCATAACATAAACAGAGGTGACACTAACACATAACATAGTGCAAGAGATGCACAAGGGAAATGGTTTTTAAAAAACTGTGATGCAGGAAATGAGAAGATAACATCACAGGGGAAGCGAGTGGCAATAAGTGTGAGCATTTATGTCTATGTTTCTCTATGAGTGTGTGAGTGCGAGAGAGAAAAAAAGGGAGGTGTGTGTGTTTGTGTGTGATCACGTGTTCTGGGGCTTTGCAAGTGACTTGTATTGTACTATTCGGCCCACAAGGAGGCGCAGAAATACAATACTGAGAGCGGAATAATCACTTCAGTATCTAAATCTAGAGAGGTATGTTTTGTACATTCCAACTAAATGTAATGTGTGAGCAGAGAGAAAACTTTTTGCTCAGCAGCATTCTGATTGGACATATCGGCCCTTAATAGACACGTTGACGGATGTAGGAATCTAATATGTGGCCTTCTGCAGCAATTATTAAAGCATTATAAGGCAAATTGCATTTTAAGAAGAGCATCAGTTTATGTGTTTCACAATACTGCAGCTTTAACTTTGATACTTTCTATGATGCACTGAATTAATTTGGGTCACAAATTACTTTTTTTCAGCTTTAAAAAAGGTGCAGACTCAAATTGAGCTTGAGGGGAAACTGGGGACAATAACACTTCCACAAAGAGATGAATCCAACAAATGCAGAAGCATGTGGTGATTTATAACTCACAAAACGAAATTGCCTGATTAACCAACAAATGAAGCGCAGTGGAAGTTTATTAAGGATGACTCTTTATGATCTTATTCATTCTCTCTGACTGTGGGCGGTCACTCTCTCAGTTAAACCAATCAGATTTTGCCACGCTTTACCTGAGCCAATCACATTGTTGCTGTCAAACTGTTCCTTTCTCTGCTGCTGTCAGTTGTCATTTCAGTATTTCCTTCCACTGAGCTCATCAGAAGCCCTGCTCCATATCTCATCCACCAGATCTTCAGCCAAATCTCTTCACCGCCACCACCAGTCAGTGTCTCGACTCCATCCGGAAGATATTACTGTTCCACTCATGGCACTACCCCCCCTAAAATGATAACGTCATAACGGGGTCTAATTGACAAAGACTTTTTACATTTCTAAAGTTGTGCACCATGTCAGTTAATGTTTTGATCACTTAAAAACTGATTGAAGTAAAAATTTTGCAAAGCATCACGAGATGAGGTGTTTGTCCTTATAGACAACTGGATTTTATTTTAGCTGATGGTTAGCTGAGCAGTATAAAGAAGAGCTGCTAGAACAATGCTGCTTTTTTGTGATCAAACTTTTATTGATTTTCAAGATATGCATTCAAAATCAACCATACATTACAACGAGAAACAGGACACATCACAATGCTGCTTTTTCATAAGCCTGCAGCACTTTAGCCTTACCTCAGCAGGATTTTTGTTCATACTTGGGAAGAAAGCCGAGAGGGGATGTAAGTTCTACTGCTAACACAAACCAAAGTTTTCCATCTGATGCTACTTCATCTGAAATGCCCTCTACAGGCAAACCACTGCTTTTATAGCACCAGGAAATGCAGCCGTCTTTGTTACAGAGGTTAACTGCCAACCTGCCTAAGTTCTTGCTCAATAACACGTGGTCTGGACAGCAAGGCTGTTTCGGTGCTTTTTTGTTGTCAAACCAATTTTAAATAATGTGGTATAGAAGTCACAGTCAACTGTTTAGGTAAAGAGCTGCAGGCAACAGGCACTTTCTGCACCTCTTACAGGTGACCATCTTAGCCTGCACATCATTCGCTCTGCCGAGAGGGTGATTAGCTACAATATGCCGTCCCTCCATGATTTGATCGCTTCCAGGACCCTGAAGCGAGCAAGAAAGATTGTAGCCGACCCCTCTCACCCTGGACATAAACTGTTCGAGTCCCTTCCCTCTGGCAGGAGGCTGTGGTCTATCAGGACCAAGCACTGATGCCACGAGAACAGTTTCTTCCCCTCTGCAGTTGGGTTCATAAACAAAGCCCGGGACTCCCACTGACTCTGACATCCCCAGGACAATTTCCTACTGTTACACTCCCTTGCACATCCGTTCTATGTTTCTATATTTAAATCCACTTGCCACTTTTATAATATACTTGTTTTAAAGTGTTATCTGTCTGTTTGTCTACCATATTTTATTGTACATTTTAATATGTTTCTATTTTTAAATTATGTCTTGATTATTGCACTGTGTTCATTGTTTATTGTTATGCACCATTCACCAAGTCAAATTCCTTATGTGTAACGTACTTGGCAATAAACGGTTCTGATTCTGATTCTTATTCTGACATAACAGTCTTAAAAGTTCCACTATGCGATATTGAGAGCATTAATACAGCAGCAAACAACTGTTTGCTGTAAAGATTTGCTGTGAAGATATAGTGCAGTAGCTGAGCGCGAAAGCGTAGCACCCACCCTTTGGTTCCTCCTCAGGTAAACACTAGCTCTGTCAGCATTGTTGCCGTTTTTTGCACTGTTAGCGCTGTTAGCACTGTTAGCTGTGAGCACGTTATGCTGCGTTCACAGCAAACGCGTCGCGAATTATTCTCGCGAGTAGATTACATACAAAGTCTATGCACAGACGCGATGAGACTGGCGCGGCGCGAATTTGCGATGGCGCGGCGCGATTGATGCGAATTTGCTGCGCGATTGATGCGAATTGAAATTTTTCAACTTCTGCGAAATATTCGCGTTACGTCCCGGCACGATAGCCTATCAGCGTTGAGTTGCTCCCCCTGTCATCAGTGACATCCTGCCGTTGTTGAATCAGGAAATAAATACTGTAGCCATCTGTGTTCACCCAGAGCTCTACGATCAAATCGGCATCATTACGTAGTTATTTCGGAGTCCCTTTTTGTCGTTTTATTGCCGTTAAATCACAGCCAGATCAGTTTATTTGGGGCTCATGCAGCTGTAGTAAACAGCGACTTGTGTGGCTTGCTAGACACAGTGAATACAGCTCGATAAAATCCATGGAGCTCCTCTGAACAATATTATGAACCCAGACATGACGGCGTTTAGTTTCCCGGGATATCTGTGACTTCCACAACATGTACTAAGCAGAAATAGAGGTTATTTTTTTCATGGTTAATGGCGGACAGTTGAACGGCTTTCAGGGCGATAAGCCGCACCCCCTCTCCGGCGCGTCCAGCGCGATTCGTGCGATTCACACATGAACACAAATGGTCCCCGGTGTTTTGACCGGCGACGCGATGACTACGCGACGCGATGAATACGCGACGCGCTTGGTGTGAACGCAGCATTAGCTGCGAGCAGCTGGCTCAAGCGTTGCCATGTTGAGGGCTTTGGGAAGGCAATCTCTCCGCTCTGAATATCTAATTAAACACTTTGAAGTTCAAAATTTCTTTGTACCATTTAAAAAAAAAAAAAAAAAGTAAGAATATTTATTTTTCTTCATTTCTGTCCTGGTTCACAAATATGAATCAAATCAATTTTGTTTATCACTTTTTGGTAGAGAATCTGTCAGATTTTGCCAAAGAACAGAAGTGCTCCAACATATCTGTGATTGAAAGAAGGTGCATTACATTACACTTTAGTGGTTTATGGGGGTCTTCCTCCACAGTGGTTGGCAGTGAGGATACCAACTCCATCAACCACTGAAACCGAAACATACAACCAGTAATATACCCCCGAGATGCATGATGTTTTGTCTTAAAGTCATCAAATTGTGACTTCAAAGACCCCAACTTCCTCTGCTGTGGTTAAAGTGTTGCCTTGTGTTTGTGTGTGTATGTGTGTCTGTGTGTGTGTGTGTCGCAGATATACTTATACTTTGCATAGCAATAACTATAGGCGTTATTAAAAGATTTTGGGCTGTTTATTGTTTTTGTAAAAAATGTAAAAAGGAGGGAAACACCGTAGTTAAATTTGTAATGTTAAGACAAGTTGCTGTTGACTTTCCCAATGTACAGTGAGTCTTTAGACAGTTTTCTCTGTGTAAAATATCATGAAGGAAGCTATTTGATCTTCCTAAATTTCCAGGTATTATGAGTGACAGCCTCCTCAGCTGAGTTCCTCACAGTCTGCACATGTCCACGACTTCCGTTGCAGGAGGTGCTTGCGATGTTGTAGGTAGATAAATTGTGTTTGTGCAAGTTCCTGTCTACAGTTTGCTCCTCTCAGGCACACAAACTGCTACCTTAGTAGAAAAGCCAGACCAAAGGATTCAACACACCAAGGCAGCTCAAATAAGTCAGCAATATCACAGATTCAAGGGCCAACTCTCAGAGCCGACCTGCAGGCAACACAATTCTTCTATCATGTTTGACAACATTGTTTCAAAGCCTCTCGTGTTAGTTTTGATCATAACAGCTCACATGGTTTTCAACGGTAAGCTGTCTTCTTTTAGTGGTTGATGTTTTACACTTTTGTGGGTTTTCAAATTTTAACTGATTCTGTTACTTCTTTTGTCTGCTAGAATTATATTTCCTGTTCTGATAACACATGTTGTTATGCCGCTAATGATACCTCGTTAGCTTTTGTGTCGCAATTTTATCCCCCAGTTACCCCTTTTTGAGGTGATTCTCAGTTTGATGTCTATTAAAATGGGGACACTCATTTGTTGCCTGAAATGTTCCTCATAAAACTATTGTATGTTTATGTTTGAGATTTTAAAAAAAAAGCGTGAGGGTTAGCATGGCCTTTATTTTCAGGAAATATTCAAAATATTTTTATCTGAGTCAATAGTTTGCTTTGTAGACATACTAACCATTACAACAGTTTTAACAACACACTCTGATGTCCATGATATAAGTCCTTACAAAAACACACAGTGAAGGGTTTAAAGTGTTCAGGCTGGACAATACATTTTGAACAGGTATTAAGGTTGTGATGCCATAATCTTGTGCTTCTTGACAGATTACTTTGCCCCCAAAAATCATTGACATGTCAGATGCTACATAGCCTAATATCTATAAATGCAGATACTGGAAAACATACCAACAAAATGCATTTTATCAGCTTTCTTGTATATTTTAACTAATTTGCTGTTAATATTTAATATAAATTGAATGTATCTCTGTTGAGCTACAGTAACTAGGCTAGGCCTACTGTTAATATTTAGTTGAATGACTTGTTTGCATGTGTTACTTAATTACATTTAATACATCTGATATGTGATTTAACACTAAATTCTATGAAATCTACTAATGTCAACAGTTACTAACACTGCTAAGCTAACGTAGCAGGATTTCAAGTAGGCCTTTAATCTTCATTATGATCGATGTTAGCACATAGCCTCCTCATTTAGATATGTGGGTTAACAACTGAATTTCCAAGATGCTGTTCATTAAAATGGATATTCTTTGACTACAGAAACCAATAATTTAGTTTTGACTTTAGCTAAAGCTATTGTTTCTGTGGCAGGTGAAGTAGTGAGTGTGTCTCTGTTTATCTACAGTAGCTAGGCTAGGCCTATTGTTTAATGTATAGCCTAATGATTTATTTTCATGACTTTTTTCATGATGAAGCTAACACTAGTTACGTTAGCTTTAGCAGGTCTTCAGCTATGCTTTTAATCTCTATTATAATTGTATTTAGCATATAGCTTACTCACTTAGATATAACAAACGTTTTCAATCAAAAAAAACAATAAATTAGTTTTGACTTTAGCTAAAGCCAGCTAGCTTTCACTGGAAAGAAAGCGTGTCTGTGGCAGTTCAGTAGTGAAGGGTTGTAGATGCAGCAGATTAACCAGTGCTGTTACTACAACCCGGGCAGAGATACAGCCACAGAGCAGTTACTGCAGTTTAGTGAGGCCCTTTTAGCTCTGTTTTGTTACTGTGTTTTGCTTTTATAGGACAGGACAGTCATTGCAATCTCTTACTCATGCACATCCTTTGTTTTGTCTCCATACAGACACCATCCCAGCAGAGGTCACCAAGAACCTCGGCACCAACATCACCTTTCAGTTCATATTCAACGTCAGTGCCATAAAACATTTTGCAGTTTACAAAACAAACTACACAAAGATTGCCGAGTATTCCAAGGGCAATAATTTCAAAAATAATGTTAACGTCCACACTGAAAAAAATTCTGTGATTTACCACATTACAAATCTCAAACTACATCACAGTGGGATTTACTGGGCCAGTTTGTTCTTGGACACAGGACTCGCAGTTGAAAGTAATAATAAGGTGCAGCTGATCGTCCTAGAGGAGAACACAATCAGCACAGGTAAGATCAGACTCTATGATTGGGATCCAGGAAATTACATCAATAGACCCCAAACAAGGACGCTTGCTAATCTGTGGAGTGTGCAGCATGAGAAGAAAAATGTTTTGATACCACGTAGTTTTTATTATGGTCGATCGATTTATACACATGAAAAATGTAGCTGATTTATTCAGGTAATGAAAAGAAAAACCTTTTTCAAAAGAACAACCACCTTCACTTTCCCATGTGAACAGACAGATTAAGTCCTTCACAACAGTACAGTTTTCTGTTGCGTTGAGGTAAGAAAATATGTATCTTATTGACAACAAATCCATGAATCAATGAACTGATCCTGTTGACAAGTATTTCCTGTATACCAAAAGCTGATACAAAAGCTTTATTATTTTTCGGTGACATGCAGTGACATTGTTATTCATAAAGTATAAATAAAACTGATGTGTTATAAATGTATAACACACCAGTGATGCACTGGGAGACATGTCCCTTCATTATGATGAAAATGTCCACTATAATCCCCAGTCATGGTACATATTATATTGCAATATTGATATATATCATCATATCGTAATGGACAGCAAATGTAAAGGCAAAAAATCCTGTAGTTGTTGAGATATTTCAGTCCGGACCTAAGTGGTAGACCGACCAACCAACAGTACGATATTTCCCTCCAAAGTGCCACGCTGCCAGCTTGGTGAAACATTGTTTGTATATAAATATGATTGTATTTCATATATATATATATCATCAGATATATCCTCAGTATAGGAAGAATGGGCTTCCAAAGGGAAGTTGGAAAGTATTGATTTTGTCTTATCCTCGAAAATTGTTGACAGTAAGCATTATTAGAGCTGTTACAACTTAACTTTGGCTCACATCAGAGATGCTATTTGTGATGTGAGCCAAAGTTAAGGCACAGTCAATTAGTGTCTGTGCTGGTTAAAGGCTAATCTTGTATTTAATGAAACAATAATGATTACTGTACAGGAAAAATTTAGTCAAACAATACAGTTTTAATTGGCAAATGCAGTAATTCAGTGTCCTTTGAACAATTCTATTTGTTAAACAACCGTTTGTCATAGACATGTTGGTGGGAGGAAATAATTTCCTGCAGAGGTATGAGTCAATATTTTCATGGTTTTCCTTTATCTCCTACAGTTACTCCTATGCAGAATGATATCACAACGACAGGCAGTGGAAGCACCACTTTAATTTCCTCTCACATCGTCACTGTCCTTGTGGTTTCACCTGTAGTGCTGTTGGCTGCAGTACTTCCCTTGTTGATCTGGTGTCTACTGAGAACCAAAGGTAGGGAAAGTGACGGTCCAAAAATACTCCTCTTCTCTGTATTTGTTTTACTTGTCTGTCATAACAGATAAGTCGGGGTGCTGTGTTTGTTGTCAAGTTTGACTTACACTGACTTGGTTGCTTTCATGTAGCTCAATTTAGGTAGTCCTCAGTCGGCAAGGAGGTGTCTGCTGAATTATTAAAATCTGAAGTAAAGTGTTTGACCTGATACATCTGGAAACTTTGATCCAATATTGTATGTGAGATGTCACTGAGATTCATTTAAACCCAAAGAAAGTCCGGCCTTAAATGACCTATTTAGAGTTATTCATCGCGCCGCAAATTCGCGTCAATCGCGCCGCGCCATCGCAAATTCGCGCCGCGCCAGTCTCATCGCGTCTGTGCATAGACTTTGTATGTAATCTACTCGCGCGAATAATTCGCGCCGCGTTTGGTGTGAACGCAGCATATGGTCAGTAGTAGACTATTTTTTTTATTTTTCAACCGAGGTAAGAAGAATAATTGTTATTGTGTGGAAACAATTTGCAATTGTGTGGTTAGATGCTCAAAAATGCAAACCAGATTGCAGTTTCACATCCTTTTGATACATGATGATTCACAGCTTTTGAAAAGAAGTCCTCCTTCAGTGCATGCAAACGTGAACACATCTACTATCACAAAGGGGTGGGTGTAAAAAAATCACTTGCATTATTTGTTCACTATTACGAGAGCGTTTTCACTTTAGAGACAAACCCCTCTGGCCTACTTTGAGTAGGAACATTGCCTCTCTGAAGTATTTTGACAGCCTCCACAACCTCAAAAACCACACCATGAATTCCCGTATGTGTATACAAATGCACGGTTTTGCTGACGCCTTCATCAGATAATGCTGCGAGTCTTCAAATATCACAACTCAGCAAACTGACTGATGGTGGAAAACAACTTTACTCTTCTGCACCTAGCTCTTTTAGCACTTGTTTTTTAAAGCTTGTACCAGAATAATCAATAATTAATTCAGACTTAATCAAACTAACTTCAATATAATCAATAATCATTTTTAAAAAACAGGCTTGGATTAATAAACCTCTGTGAAATTATTCACAAAAATGCTAATCGATCAGCATGTGGACTGCTATGGCCGTTATTCTTTTAACTGATTGATGTATTAACAAGTTTACTGGTATTAGCAGCATTTTTTCATATTGTTAGGTGAGAAGATCGATCCAAGTCTCATGTCTGTATGGACTTGAAGTCAGGAGACCATTAGCTTAGCCTAGTAAAAAGATGGGAAACAATCTGCCACACTAATGAACTCTTTGTAGCTTGTTTGTTTAATAAACTGCAGCTTATCTGCCCATTGCGTCTGTGTGGCGTCTCTATATGATATGATCGCTGAGAAAAGGTATTAGCAAAGGTCCTTAAACCTGCATGATGGCACCAAGACTCCAGGAATTACTACAAAAGCAAAGTTCTAATGTAACTCTTTGAATAAGCATATTTGCTAAAATGTTGAACTATTCCTTTAAAATGGCCACCTGTATTTTTTTGCCAGCTGTTCATTTCACCTCAGCTCTAATCAGACTGTCTACCCTTTAATTAACTTCCATTCAAATCCACGTCTTACAGGGATTAAGTTGAATATTTGCCTGACTGACTCAATATTTGACCTGTTTTGCTCATAATACAGACAAACAACCGCCACCTCAACAACAAAGCTCTAATCCCACAGTACAAGTAAGAACACAGTCACCTTTTTGCGTCGTTAAAAATGTAAACGTCAAAGTAAATATTTAAAACATCTGCAGAAATTCTTCACCTTGACTTTGATCGTCGTTGCAGGAAACAGTTGAGGCATCCACCAATGTGCCCGCACCCCCACTGGTCTACAGCGTCCTGGACTTTCCCAAAAGATATCCGGCAGTGTTGGAGATTAATCCAAGTGATATAGTGTACGCTGATGTCAGCTATCTCCCAGAGAAGAGACAAGTGTGACTTGCAGCAGAATGTAAACCAGCAGGTTTCTCTTGGTTTGGGTAAAGGTATGAAAGATGACTTATATATAGATCTAAAAATATATTTCAAGTGAGTGTGATAAATGCTTTTTTTAATCACACGATGAATTCTCACAGCGTGTAGGCAATAATTTGCAAGCAAAGGAGTCACTGTTCTGCTTTGGTCGTGAGTATGTAGGTGTCACTTTGAGTTTGGTGGTCGTGAGATTGAAATGTTGACATGTCGGCAAACCACAAGCCAGCACATATAATGTTGCAATAACAAACCAACATTGTGATTCGGTTTGTTTGTTCTTTATTTGTCTCAGGGTCATCTGTCCACTAAACTCTTAAAGGCAGAGTCTGTTTCATTTTTTGTTTTCTTTGACCAATGCCATAAAAAGACCAAAACAATGACGTAGTCCTATTTCCTGTGTGGTCAACATCCGATATATCTTACTCCTCCTTGCCATAGACCTCCATTGTTGTCCCAAAACTATCAAAAACACACCAGGCAGCCTCACCATTGCACTGGGTGACATCTTAATTTGATGAACAGGGGCACTGTCGTTTATTTTGAGTCCCACAAATAAAATCCTGCTGCTGAAAATACTCACCGGAGCTTAAAGTAGTCCCACAAAAATGTACTTTTGAATAACATTTGAATAACATTTTCTAAAAACTACAGTGCCCAGCTGTTTTGAAAAAATACTGAGCGTTTTTATAATGTGTTTTAAAATTGAATCGATACATTTTGGGGCTGTTTTTATTCTTCTTTTTACATATAGTTTTGTCTTCAGTCAAATAGGCTTTCAGCTGAGTACCACAGACATGGTGGGGAAGTCAGAAAGCTTTGAGAGATGGACTAACACACTGATGGTATTGTTGTTCTCATGGAATTTATTGAAAATAACAAAAACATGAAAGAAGGCCAGTTATGTGTTATATCTTCAGGAGCTCCCTTTGGGTTTCAGGTTGACTCATTTTTTATCTTTTCTGTCATTTTCTGATTTGTTTTTCATCAAAGTGTTGATCACAGTTAGACTCAGTGTTTCCACTGTTAACATAAACAGAATTAATAACTATTCGTGAAATGAAACAGTCTCAGGAAGTGATGAAATTGTATTTGTAGATTAAAGATCTCAGCTCAAGAGTACTGTATATTCACAGAAGGGATTTTCCATTTATTGTATGTGACAGTTTGAGACTGTCACACCGATTTCTACGCATACGATGGCTATCTGACAATATCTCACTGCCATTTTCCACTGCATGATCTCTGACGTTCTCTTTTGAAAGGTGCTAAATGATATTTTGATAGATTTGTCAGAATAAGTTTTGATTTATGTCCTCAGTGCCACATGTTGTTGTCATTAATGTGTGATAGCCATGCATTCATGTATTAAACTCATCCAGCATATTTGTTCACAAGTGGCAGACATGCTGGTTGATTATTCATCCCGGATGTTTGTTGTTATTCAGGATGGAAAATAACCAGCCAACCTGGTAAATGGTGACGTGTTTTTTTAAAATACGTGGCCGCAAAGGCACGCAATCAAACACCGACTGAAGTTTCTTCTGCTTTCATTATTGGTAAAAAAGCAAAAGGGCATTTTCAATGTACCAAGTTGTCCTGCCAACAGGTGTTATTATTTCATACTACTGAACTGTTTCTTCTTGAAATGCAGGAGTGAATGTCAAAATAGAGAAATAAACTTTATTTTTTTTGTGTACAAACAATGTCCTTCGTTCATCAATGCTGGATCATTGAGTCTCATGTAACTAACAGAAAATACATTTTGTTTTGGTGATCCATTCAAGAAGGTGAAAACATGGTGCATGCTTCACAGTGTGTTTTAGTTGTAAAAAAATGTTTAGCTGCATGCTGCTTGTTAAATTGTTGGTGTCCTGAATAAAATGGCTTACAATACTGATGCCCTCCTTGGCCTTTGTCTGAAAGTGTACCTTGGTTTCAATGTCGGTTTTAAATCTGCTCTCCAGGCAGAAATAATCGCACTGGTTGAGTTAAACTTAAAGTGGCTGTCGCTTAAAGACCACGATGCTTCTTATCAACCTGGCCTTGTCTTACCAAGCCTTCGGTATGTAAAATCATGCAGTACTGATACTAAAAGGGTTGTTCTCACGCAGGACCTACTTTTAGTGTGTCAGTGGGGCTGGCCCGGGTAAATCTCCCATAACTCCACCATCTGTTTTTCTGCGAAACCTACATGGTGTTGTCTCTTTGAGGCTGCATACAGGGTCCAAGGTGCAGGTGCTAGTTCAGCATTTATTATAATGAAACCTCAACCTCAATACTGTAAAGTCTGAACGATTATTACTTTCATTTTTACTTAAAGGCTCCAAAAAGGCTGAAATTAGCCCCGTTGCAATGTAGCTCATGATAGCTTGGGTTAATCTACCTAATTTTTCTGACTTTTTGGGGAAATGATTCAGCCTGTATACAGCAACACATGACACACATTCATTTCATGATAAAACTGGATACAAAGTGAAAAAGAGAGAGTGAGCTACCTACATGAATGGGCAGGCATTTTCTCTCAGCTCAGGCATGTAGAAGAGGGTAAACCCCCGGGAAATTAATCAGTTTTCTACTATGTCATATTTTCTATAGCCATTTGACAATAGAAACAAAAGACATGTCAATTACAACATCTTTTGTAGTCACAGACTATAGGCTGGATTACCAACTGGGCAAAACAGGCCCCCAGACCTTCAGTGACAACAGGTTTTATTAATTGTAAAGTTATTTGGTATCACATTGGTATTATGTTAGCCTAATCAATTTGTGTTTAATCAAATTAGCACAAAATAATCAAATCGCCACAAACAAACTGACACACAGCATCCCCAAGCCAGGGAGTGCTAAGGAAACACTGGTGGCTTTGACTCAACAGGGCACTAGCTGTTGAGTCTTACAGCCTGACGAAAGAAACTGCTCTGTACGGCAGGGGATGAATCTGTATAGCTTGCCAGACGGCAGCAGGGAGAACAGGCTGTGGCTGGGGTGGGTTCTGTCTTTTGATATCCTTTGGGCTATTGCAGGCACCTCACGTTACCGATATCACTGACGCTCGGCACAAATGTTATTCTGGGATTTATCACCTGCTGCAGACCCTCTGGTCCTGGGCAATACACATCTCATACCAGCTTGTAATGTTTCCAGTCAGGGCACCAGCACAGAGAAAGTTTTCTAGCAAGTTGGGCAGCCTAATTTGTTTTCTCACTGAAGGCGTTTTGTCATCTTTAACTATAAGGGTATCCAAAAGAGAGCTTTTGCAGGAACGTTTCTTTTTTCGAACATAAATCCAGTGGCTCAAGGTAAAATATACTGAGCTGCTGGGTGCACTGAACTCAAAGGAAACTTTAAAAGCAAAACTCTACATACATTCCCTGCTCTGGCTCTGGTCACAGAGTGAATAGTATGGCCAATATTCTCCTTTCTTGTTGAAGGAGTAACTAAGGAACCTATCTAGCCCCTGAAATACCCAAAAGCACTGTAATGGTTCTCAAGCCCCAAAGACAGATCCTGAGGTCTTCTTCCCTTTCTGGGACCTGTGGGGAAATATTAGAGAGATCCTCAATACATATCAAAATACTTTCAATTATTATTATTATTTCCACAAAAAAGTTACCCTATTAGGAATCCTCAAAGGTTTTCTACACGATATTAACCTTGAAGAGAATCCCTAATGTGAACGGTTGCTGTCTTCCGTTACTTTGAGGTGAAGCTGGACTTCGCTGTCATTTGCTGGTGTGCATGTTGCTGTGCTCGACCTGTTGCACTTTGCACAACATCACACCCACCTCTACAGTACAGAGGTTTCTCATAAACAAACCAAACCTCGCTTTTCCATAACTGTGCTGTGAGCCGTTGCAACATTCAAATCATGAATGACAAAACGGTTCAACTGAAGAGTGTTTTTTTTTCCTTCTCATTGTTACATGCTGCCGGCGGCTCACAGCTAACAGTGCTAACAGAGCTAACAGTGCAACGATGCTGTTGGTCAGGATGGCGTTATCAGCTGTAACTGTCGTTTGTGGGCAGTGCAGAGTGACCGCCATGAGCTCACCAGTGGAGCACAAACATGCACTAAAAGCCTGGCTATGTCAACGAAGCACGGATGAGCTCAGATAACGATAATCACAGAAAAGGAGCAATTTAATTTTCATTATAGCTGTTTGATGCTATATTCACGTTCAGAATGTTAAATACAGCTCCTTTAAGGCTGGCGTTTTTGTACAGATTCGTTGTCTATTATGACATAGTCTAATAGTACAATTTGAAAATATTTTTCCTCATCATAATGGGTGTAATTATTATTAACTCAATTTGCCAAAGGTAGACACCAGAGATCAAAGTATTGCAGCTCTATCAGTTGTTTTAAAGCCAAATTGAAAAGTGTACTAAAAGCTTCCCAACCCTGCACTGTTTGAGCTTAATGCAGATATCCTTACTTTTAAATTGTCAAACATATATTTGCTGCTGGTGTTTAATGTACTGCTCTGTTCATTTTGTATCAAGTGTCCTGTCCTGTTTGTCTAATTTGTTTAGTGACTATTCTGTCACTGTGTGGATGTTTCAAACCTGCCAAGAGACTGTAGATTAGAATTAGCTTCAAGCTAACACTGGTACAATAAATTAAATGCTTACAATCATCTTTATTGCTCATTGTCCCTCACAAATTAAATAAATAGTGTTGCATGCATGCTTATTAGCAAGATTAGATTAGATTAGATTAACACACGTTTTGGATTGACTGTTCTGTAAATAACTTCTGTTTGTGTGTAACCTTAATAATCACACCGTAAAATAGTTAGGTCTGGTTTTCCACTTGACATCAGCGGAAAGATCTCAATTTAAAAATGTGAGGTTTCACAAGTCAGCAGGGTAAACTCATTTGTTCGGAGCTAAATATTCATACTTTACCTTCAGAGAGACCTCACATGTATCCCTGAAGTATGAAAGTATGAGTGAGTGAGGACACAAACCTATCTGCATCTGTATTGACTTTCGAGGACCAGAGTGCACTTTAAGATATACAAAAATCTCCTTTCCTGCAATGCCATCTTCTGTTACTACCAAGGGATAATAAGCAGTCAGTGAAATATCTACAGAGGAGTATTTCAGCAATTTTCTAATTACACATACTACACTCCTGGCCTGTTTTAACTTTGATGAGCAAAAGCATCCCAAACACAACATTTTAAGTACATTTACATGTCATGTCAGTTTCAAGCCAGCACTCAAAAACAGAAACTGTTTTTCTGAATCTACTTTTTTCTGTATGTACATCTGAAGAGGGGACATTTACTGCTCAACACAAAGGTTTGTGACACTCTTTACTCAAAAGCCAAAGCTGCAGCTGACACTGCCCTCTGGTGGCAATGAGTCAGAGTACAGATGGAACCCTCCACAGATATAATGCACCCTGAAGGCTGCAGCTTTTCATCCTGCTCTCTTGTCTCTTAAAGTATGAGGCCACGTTTTTACTTTGATACTACAAGACAGACAAAAGCTCTGTGACTTTGCATGAGAGAAAATTATACTTAGAGAGTAAATTTAGGTGTTGACGAGGCAAAAGGATGATATGATGAAACATATATTTTAAAGTGATGCTAAATTAGTAGGAACGTGTGAATACAATGTTTAGAATTATGCAGTTACAATAAGAACGTGTTCAGCAGTGTCAAATACCAAGACAGACAAAAAAAACCCAAGTACATTTATGATAAAAAAAGGAAGAAATCTAACCTTTAAAAACTGAGAGGGAAAATATCTTATCAGGTGACACATGTGCTTTAAAGCATGACAAACGTCTGGACCCAAACTGTTCATCACATATATTAATATATGGATGTAGGAGTTGCTTTTTTTACAATCCAAAATGATTATGAGTCAAAAGCTATGATAATTCTGACTCATACTTTCAAATAAAACAAACGAGCAGAGACATCTATTCTGCCATCTGTTGGACAACATGTGTCACAACATGTAACAAAGTAATACATTGAAATATTATAGTGTATTCACGCGGAAAATCAGATAAAAATGGGGCAGGTTGTGGTCATTTATTTACTAGTAGAATGTACATTAGTACTTAAAGACAACATTGAGTCTTATTGTGTGTCATCCTGATGTTATTGTTGTATTATACAATAGAGGAATCGCATGAATACTCAAACAAGTGCTAAATATAAAACCTCCAATAGAGGTAGGATTTAACAGTTGAATATAGGTACACCAATGCAAGTTGATGAAATAAGTTCTGGAAACTCAAAGTCCACATTTCCTGCAAATAAATGTCCTTACTATACTTAATATACACACACTGTGGTATCGGCTCACAGTATTTTCTTCACAACACTTCACATTTATCAGATGTTATCGCGCTGTCTGTGGTCAGGACAGATGATTTTAATCTCGATGTGGTGAGAGATATAATTTTGACTGTCATAACTAAACAACAGAGTGACGTTCTCCCCAAGCAGGCCACAACCTAACAGTACAGGAAGCAGGTATAAGATTTTTTCCTTTTATTTGCAGTTGTAGGTTTCATTGTTACACTGACCAACAATGCATTAGACTCTTAACAGGATAACTGATCATTTTTTTGAACATTGCTACTGTTGTAAAAAGAAAAGCTAACTGTAATTTTACTCTATTCTATTGACTTTCATTACGTTTGATCTAGCTGCAAGCTGCTAACAAGAGCAAGAGTCTACAGTGACTGTAGCTCTGTGAGGCTGTCATGTTTATCGTTTAAAAAAAAGATTTTAAAAGTTGTGTGATGTTTGCAGTCATTGTGAACTAAAGGTGGTCAAAAACTGTTAAAAAGTTTGAGACACTGCTATGTTGCCATTAGAGTATTGTTCAGTTCATGTACTTCTGCTCTTTGATTTAAAATCCAGTCCTTGGCTTAAATAATAAATCCTTACATAATTCCAGTTACTGCATGAGAAATGAATGTGAACATTTGCAAACATGCCAGTGCAAGTGCAGCTGAGCTGATGGTCATTAGTTTTGAAGCTGTTTGGTCATGAGCAGTGTTGGACAAATAGACATTTTGACCTGATGATGGCATTTTTAGGAATCACCAAAGTCCACAGGTTTCTTCCTCCGAGGACCATAAATTAATTTAAAAAAGTTTTACATTTTTTATTTTTCAACCAAATAGTTGAGATAATTCACTCACAATCCAAAGTGTTTAGCTGTTGGTGACACTACATTAAAGTCAAAGGACCAAAGTTATTTGGATTCATCGTCTGGGAGCCATGAATGTCTGTACAAAATGTTGTGCCAATTCATGAATATCAAAATACTCCACAGTGCAAGTCAAACTTCGACCTTCTGGTTGTGAAAAGAAAACGATTAAAGTCCTTGGGATTCATCCTCTAGGGACCATAAATGTCTGAATAAAATTTCATGTCAACATTTTGTCTAAGACCTAAATAAGAAAAAAAACAAATAACATTCTAAAATCAACAGTTAGAAAAAGGTTTATTGACAACACTGTGAGCGATAAACCCTCCTGCTTTCATATACTGGCATGCTTAGGTAAAGAAAATTCACTGGCAAAATTCAACTTACATGAACATTAAACAAATATTTTCCTCTGAAGTAAATTATTCTACAAGTCTCCTTTCATCCAACATTATAAAAAAAAGAAAAAGACATGTTAAAAAAATGAGATAGTTGTAACAAGATTGTGTGCTGTGAGGCAGTTGAACCCTTATTTAAATCTATTTTAAGGCGAGTCCGTCTTCGCATCGAAGACCAAACCATTCCTGTATATCAGCATGGCGATCTTGTTGTCCACTTGTTCGAGATCAGTAATTTCTCCTTCTCTGGAGCTCCTCAGTGCCTCATCACTGGTTCCTTCTGACATCCTTGAATCAACCCTGTCGTCCAGGTCCTCGTCAGTGCCTTCATCCCACTCTCTCATGATGGTCTCCTCTGCGTCCTCAGGGACAGACTTGTCCTCTGGATGCTGGTGCAGCGTCAGCTTGTGCACCTCCTCCTTTCCCTCCAGAAACTCCTGTTGTGGGTCACATTAGTGCAAAACAGTAAGATTCAAGATTCCAGACTTCACTATCATATGCATAGAGGATAAACAGCACTGTTCTATTAAATCCTTAGCTTGCTGTCCTGTTTGATTGTCACATGTTGTATAAAAATCTTTACTCAAAGTAAAACAAAAACAGAAGGACTTTCCTCCATTTAATCTACTTCCCTGGAAAAAAAAAATGTCTCCACACCAAACACACTGTGTTCAGATGCTATCGGACTGATTGTTTTCTGCGTTTTGGTTTTAGCGCCTTTGCCCATCTACACACCTGCTCTGAATCAGTATCGTTAGTGCTTGCCAGCCTAATCACCTCATCTGGGCTTCTCCGCCCATCTCTGCACTTCATTCTCTCGTCAAATAACTTTGGTTTTCTGTTCAGTTTTTTCTTTCCATCCTTGATTTTGTTTATGAGATGTTTCGTTGTGTCTTGCCTGCTCTGACCCTTGAATTAAAACTGGTTCTGTTGCCTGTAGTCTCTTGTGTTTGGGTCCACTGGCTCCACTCTTCATGACAACTACATTTTACAACTTTGAGCCACCAGGTCGGCGATTGCTTTATGGCACAGAATAGTAAGACATGGTCGAACACAATCTTTATAAACACTGTTTGTTTGCAAGTTTTGGAGATATCGGCCGTAGAGCTGTCCAATATAATGGGACTAGATGGCACTTGGCTTGTGGGGCTCAAAGTGCCTCAAAATACATTCATGTATATGAAACTGTTCATAACAAGATCTGTGGATTATCATGAATCACCAGGTCATGATTTCTGGAAAAATAGTTTTTTAAATTAGATTTCAGGGTGAACTGACAAGCTGTGGTTGACGTCAAAGAAAAGATTTGTACTCTTCCTCAAAATGAGAGTGCAGGTCATTATTTATAAGGTTAAACCCCAACAGTTTCCCACAGGCACCTGTGACTCTTCAGACAACTTTTACAGTGCACAAAATGTCTAAAGATCAGCTGTCGGGGTTTTATAAAGAGCAAAAACTGCACATGTTTAACTGCTGAAAATCCCTTGTAAATATCAGTCTCTTACCTGACTCTCTGGTTGATACGGGATTAAATCTGGAATAACGGGTGTTGGCACTGGAGGGAAGATCTTGTTTTGGATTCTAAGTGTAGATAAAACAAACTCAAATAAACCAAATTCCTGAAAGCTGCCATGTATGGCATTTATTCAGTAAAACTGAGCAGGCATTGAATAAAAGCAGCACATAGACTGCCCTAATGTTCACCAAGTTAAACAATCAGAATACTTTGAAAGATACAATGATCACAGAAACAGTTGTACATAGCTTTTAAAGATAGCCAGAACACGAGTACTTCACCACAGCATTAGTGACTTAGCTTTCCTCATGCATACTTTGTTTGGTTTATCAATACTTTAATCTTAAACTGTAGAATATTTACAGTAGGGGTCACCTACCTCTTCAAGATGCAGGTGCACATTATTGTGAGGAAAAAGAACAGAAACAGCAAGCCCAGACTCCACCACACTAATAAAAAGGAAATATTTGTTCACAACCACATGTAGAAAAACTGCACTATTGTCTCGTATTCAACTTTCCTACAAAGCGGATTTACGATACCATTCACAGGCTTCTCAGGGAATGTGATGATGTTTACTGTGGCTTCAGGTCCTTCTCCCACACGTGTAACTCCAACTAGGCTGATGTTGTATTTCGTTCCCGGTGTCAAGTTTTCCAGACGGTACTTTAGCAGAGAGGCTGATATGTTACGGCACTCTGACAAAATGAGACGTTGGAAAAACTTAAATTTGCATAGTGCTGTCATCATACATGTTCAAAGAAGGTTTAATTGTCTCACACATTCAAAAGTTGGTGAAATATTGTGCCATTGCAGTTATATATATATAATCATACATTCGTTTTCTTTCATTCAGCTCTACAAAACTTTTGCCTTTGCAAAACGTTACAGATGAGTAAAATAAAGTGACTTCACACCTTTCAGCTCATCCTGTGAGCTGACTTTGAGGATGTAGTGTGTGAGGAAACCTCTCTGGTCCACAGAGGGAATCCCTTTCCAAGACAAGTCAGCAGTGTGTGTATCACTAGAAGCAATAAAGTCCTGAGGTTCTCTGAGTGGAACTGAAGAGAGAAAGAAAAAAGTAGATTCAAAACAACCACAGTATGTTTCTCATTCTCAGTCAGATAAAGTACCTACATATACGTATAGAAGAAAGGTCCCAATCATGAGGGATGACAAGTGCACATTTTAAATTGGAAATTAAATAAGATCTCATTAAAGGCCAATACAGAACAGTGGTATTGGTGCATCTCCTACAGTATAAATACACGTGTACACAAAATATATTAATGTTTAATGTTAGCTGGGTAGAACAAGACTTCAATGACAATGCTAACGGTTAGCAATGTTTCAACATGTTCTCATCCAAACTCGTTACATGCCAACGCTTTGTCAAACCCTTTGGTTTCAGTTTCTAACGCACTGGGTAGCCCTGCGCACGGTCGCAGTAAACACGTGGTTAACACTGTAAATTCAAACAAAAACACTTGTTTAGTACGGAAAACGCAAATAGAAAACAAAATAAATTTAACTTCAAATGAACTCAACATGTTTGGGACATGAACGCTGGTTTCAAACACCAGCCTCCTGGTTGAAAGTCCTTTGTTTTTAGAATCAGGTTTTTTTTTCAGTCTATACTAAGTCATAACACTGCTGGGACATTTTCCCTGAGCGTCTAATAATGGCAGTGATTTAAATTGTTACTTGATAGCCCTGTGTCGCTAAAAGGTGCCTTGTGGTATCACACACTTTGTATGTGACACACTGACGGTATTTGACACTCTGGCAGTGAGAAGGAGCTGAATGTTTACCATGTTCACCATATAAGTTTAGCATGTTAGAACATTTGCAAATTAGCACCTAAATCATTGTACAGGTGATGGAAATGTCATTGGGTCACAAACCAAATGCTTCGACGAATTACTAAGTTGGCCTGATGATGACTCTAGATGGAAAGTTAAGCGATCACGAAAGTTATTAGTATTCATCCCAAGAAAGACGTGAATGTTTGAACTAAATCACACGGTAATCCGACCAGCAGTTCAAACAAAAACCCACAAATGTCAACCTGCTGGTGGCGCTAGAGGAAAAGTCACATCATCACCAAAGTCATTAAGAAAATGTCTTCTGGGTATCACGAATGTCTGTACAATATTTCATGACAATTCAGCTAGTTGTTGAGATATTCCCGTCTGGACCAAAGGGATGGAGCAACCATCAATGTGTTCTGTTGTTTCACTTGTAGTACTTGTTGCAGCACATCCAGCTAGCAGACTAAGTTTAGTGTCTGATAATTGTGGCGCCCCTGTGCGTCTTAGTGTATTGGAATAAAGACACTTACCTCCCTCTTTTTGATAAAAGATGCACATTTTAACTGTCTTTGGATTCCAACCGCCTTCACATCTGTGTTCAAAGTAAAGGTAGCGGACATAGTCTTTTATGTCTGAAACAGAAACAGATTCATAGTTTGTCTTGCACAGAAAATATTTTTGATGTAAATGTGTCACAACATCTTCACCATGGCGGTACAACAAAGAAAATAACAGTAAAAGTAATGTTAAGCTAATGTTGGAAAACAATCAATGAAATGTGGTGCTAAATTAGGCCAACGATTAGCTTTGGTGTACTGTATATTGTATACTAGCATCTTTTGTACTGATTTGTTGAATCCACTATGCGTAGGATTTGACAACGCTTTCATCCTGGCTAGTTTTTTGTTTCGTCTTCTTCTCCATTGCCATCTGTAGAGCCAATGTGATGAAGCTGTGTGATTAAAAGCACTTTAGATAAAACATACTCATTTTTATCTGCTTCTTCTTTTTCGTCTTTGCCGTTAAGGTGATCACATTGTCTGGCCTTGAATCTCCATCTTGAAGCTCGTACAACTCAAGGCAAGATCTATTTAATTTTTCATCCAGCAACGTCTTGTCACAAACTGCCGGGGGAACAATAGCCTTTTAGGTTGACAGAAGGATAAATGCACAGGATATTTGACACACACGCACACACACTTTGGCCTACTTTTTAAATCTGCAGCAGGTTCAGCCGGTACTTGAATGATTGCTGGTGGAGAATCCCCCGCTGAGTTTGTGGCGATTACAGTGATGTTGACGGCAGATAACGAGACAGTAGTAGTGTGTTCACTCGTGTTGATGCGATGTCCTTTTTTCTTGCAAGGACATCCGTGAGAGGACTGTGTGTCATTCAGGAAGTAACTCACTCCTGTGACTGCAGCTGCATGTGGCATCGGCTGAACAGCGGAAGAGACAAACACGTTGTTGGGATCTGACTATATGGCTTCGACATGTGCTGTGGAACAAAGAGAGTCAGGCCTTCCCTTGTGCAAGCAAAGGTTAAATCCTGATTGTAGTTTGAGCACCAAACCCCCAGCTCTGAAGAAATTCACATTAGCAGGAGGCACACATGCAACGTTGTTCTTCTTTTTAATCAAATCCTAGGTCTCACAGTTTATATTCGCTGGCCGAATTCAACAAACTGTCTATTTTATCTTTGTTCGTATCCACGAAGCGAACCCTTTCATTCCTGCAGAAGTGAAGAAGCAAGACTCCTTCAGAAAGAGAGAGAGAGAGAGAGAGAGAGAGAACTTCCACTCTCCACGCTCCACCAAGCCTCGTCTGCTCCGGCCTTAAGGACGCGAAAATCCCTGACCCAGACGACAGCGATTCTCTCCTACCGAGACAACACCGCCCGCGGCCCGCAGCCCACCGAAGCTCAGAAGAACCCCTCTCAATCAACACGATTGAATCATACCGTAAGGCGAAATAGATTCTGGGCAGAGTTAGAGAGAGTTCATTTGTGTTTATTTTATCTTGTTTGTGTGCTTAAAGTACTGTTCATTTTTATGACGTGGTACATGCTTTATGATCACCGACACTGACGATCCCTGAAATTGCTAGTGTTGTGTAGAAGTCAGCGTGTATTCCATGCTACTGTGATTCGTGTCGAGATAGCCGCAGTGAGGTCGGGGACTGCGTCTCAGGTCAGAGGTCGGAACCGCGTCTGTGACAAAGAGCCCGGTTCTTGCTCCTCTGGCTGGGAGAACAGTTTACCGAACTCCAGCGCGGCGCAGAGGATCTTATTCTCTTGTTTTATTTCATTTTGTTTTGTTCCTTTCCCTTCTCTTTTACTAATCCACACACACATATAGCTTTGAGCTAATGTAGCTACGTGCTAAACGGCTACCGGCACGTATAGACGCCGGGTCTTCTGTTGGCTATCCGCCATTTTGTGGGCTATCCGCCATTTTGTGTCTCGCGCATGAGAGACGTCACCACGTCCCAACTACGTCGCTGAGCTGTTCCCTCGCTCCTCCCCCTACACCCCCCCCTCTTTTCAATCGCCTGTTGATTTTAGATAGCGTGCTCATAAATGTATAGTTGTTGTTAGTTTAGATGTTAGTTGACTAAATCATTAGTATTAGAACGTAATAAACTGTTATATTTTAAAGAGCAGCTGTCTGTGATTACTTTGTGCATGTGTATTGTGATAATAGCTGTATATGTGGTCTGTGCTCGAACTTAAACCTTCACTTTCACTCTGAATGTGTGATAGTACTCAGACTGCTGACATTGTGAGTGAACACTAATTATGAGACTTAGTTTTATCGTTTGGTTATTGGTCCCTGTTCGCAGGGTGGTGCACCGTTATTATTAATAATCATTAATAATTGTTACTGACATTAATAATTCTATTGATGTCAAGAATTTAGTTTCTTAGATGCTGATAACCCAAACATATTGGTGCCCCCTTTTTGAGGCTATGTTATTCCCAACAACAGCAAACTGAGTGCTACAGTCCAAGAAGGAAACACAAAGCGGTAGAAACACCGTTATAACACACACTGTTGGTCCCAAAGCAGAATGGTTGGAGCAAAAAGTGAGGTTTATGAACCAGGTTTCATTTCACTTGAACTAGGGAGGTTAAAGGTTAGTATTAAAGGTTTTTTTTTTTTGTGAGTTGTGTCAATCAGTGTTATTTTTAAAAAATACTGTGAGTCAGCGATGCAACATCTTCATATTTGTAAATTCTGCCAAGGTATGCTTTCCATTACGGTTAAATGTTTCTAAAAAGATTGGCTGAATTAAAGTACAAATGTTCATACTGGGTACTTAATTGGCTGAACTTGAAGATATTGTAAAACATATATTTCACGCTCAACTTGCAACTTGTTTTTATTTCCTTGTTTTAGGATTTCATGACACACTTTAAGGTGAAACAAATTGTTAAGACAATGTATTAGTAGTGTGACTTTTTAAAGTTATATCATCCTCATTATTGTTATTGTTATTAGTAGAATTTGTTTGTGAATTTGATTGTAGTAGCCCTAGTAGCACTGTATTAAAGGGGTAATTGTTATTTCTGCTGTGATAAACCAGCAGGTACCATTACAATGTTTGGGAAAATAAGTAAAATGTTTCATGCTCATGATGTAATTCTGTTTAAAACTTGTGTGAATATGTCACATATAAACACTATGAATTATGTTACTCTCACTTTCTTTGAATTTTTTTAACAAAGTAAATTTTGTCTTCCTTTGGCCAACTGCCTGTTTAACAGAAACATACATTACTCATTTGTATTGCTCATTAATCACAAATGCAATTCAGTTCTCTGCAGTAAAATGTTAAATGTTTCATGGCACATTTTTCTCTGCAGTATAAAAAGTTTAACTGAACATTTTGAACGTCAGAAATTTACAGTTATACATGCAGTAGAGACTGTAATACAAAAACTCTATTGTCCTATTTGGGACCACATTATTGAACAATATGGGAGGAAGTGTGTGAACATTTTGGTGTAGTTTTCCCGTCACTGTCTTACCTTCCACGTTAGCGTTACCTTTCGAGTCCCACCTAAAATCCTTGTCGTAATGGTGACTTCAGGTTTTTGCTCAAGCGCTGTAGTAAAAACACAAGACATCATTGAGCTGTTTACTGTATGTTGGGTAATACTATAATATAGTTTGAGCCTACAGCAAAAAACAAAAGTGAATAAATCTTAAAGTTGCATCTGTTCAGATGTTAACAACTCTTAAAAGTAGGAAAGACAGGATGCGAGTGGTTAGGACTCATATTTATATTCAGTATATATGTATATATATATATCATATTTGAGTTTGGATTTAAGATATCCTGTGTGTATTATACCAAACACTACAGGTTATAGTTTGTGATTTGTAAAGCCACAAATACTTTTGGGACACTGGATTTAAAGTCCAAAGTGCTTATGAATAAACTATAAAATCTATGACTTTACCTGCAGGAACAGTCACAACTGGAGACCAGTCGCTCCACAGTGGTTTGAGGGCCTGAGTGGACCGATGTCTGATTTGAACCTGGTAAACTGAATCCTTCAACAGATTACCAACAATAATATCTGTTTGAATAAAAAGAAAAAAACTTTTTTTGTTATTTTCTCCTATATTTATTGTTAAGTTTTTCCTATTGTCAACAAATCCCATGAAAAGACCAAAGCCAACAATTAATTAAACCGGTTAACAACTATTTCCAAAGTCTGATAGATTACATCTTATTCTTCTGTGGCATAGTGCTCCATTGTTGTCTAAAAACTATTTAAAACAGATCAGTGAACTTAATTGTTGGACTGGTTCATTACAATGAACTGGGGCACTGCAGTTTCACCGGCCTATACAGACACTTCTGTGTTTTACCCTGTCTGAGAATTAGCAGAACTAACATGTCTAAAAACTTCATCAGACGTCATTAAAGTAAATACTGAATGAGAATTTACAGTAGAGTGCTAAAACCACTGGTATGCTCCTTCAGTGTACCTCAGCTTTAGATCCACAAGAACCAATATAAAACAAGGGTGAATAAACTTCATTCAAAAGACTTGAATTCCAAAAAGAGACTACTCACACATTGAAGGTTTACTGGTGGTATTTGTTGTTCTCTGTAGCTGCAATATGGATAAAAGGTTAAATATGTCAGATATGTCAAAACTTCAGATACATTACATTTGGTAAGAACATCTGCCTCACTTTTCCCCATGATTCTGTGGGGTGTTCGTTGCGTCTGAATCGGATCTCGGCTAAAGCTGGATACATCTCTGCAGCTATCCATGTCAAGTTGAGGTTGTTTTTAATCCAGGACATGGACATATTTTGTGGTGCTTCATACTTAACTGTTGAGGAAAATAAAAATATTTATTACATTTATTTACGACATATACTTTCTCCCACTTGTATGTGTTTTTAAATAAGAGGAGCAGTACCTGTGTCACGGAATACCACAGACCTCTTGGTCGACATGCAGCTCGAGTTTCCTGCTCGAGCTTCCACCCAAACGTGATAAGCACGAGTTTTGATCGGGAGCAATTCGTCAATGATGCCATACGTCTTCTCCAAGGTCTCGTACTTTGTTTTACTGCAAGTAAACATTTAGAGCTAGCTTTGAGTGCATTGAGAATGGCAGGAACACATGTCCTCAGCATTAGACTAAAGACGTATGTTAACCCCTTTACATTCAATTTTGCCCATTTGTTTCCCTTAAGTTGCTTTAAGATTGTTAAAAGCACCCTGGCTTTGTCCAAAGGTAACAAAATCCACCTACCAGCATCTCTAAAGCGCACAAATTAATGTGATATCTCATCTGTTATCTCCGCCATGAATCATGTAGTAGTGTTCAGTTGCTTAATCACTTAAATTCTAAATCCTCTCGAGGCTTATTGTCGGGAAAGTATTTTCTGCCTCAGCATATCCTTTTTCCCCTTTTTTAAATATTTCATTGACTCCTAAGTACTTGAGAAAAAGCAGTATGTGTGTTATTTTGGAAGATTACATGATGACCTATTTTTATTTTATTTTTTTTAACTTTCAGATCAAGCTGCGGCCGTATGAGTGTGTGGGTGCGTCCGTGAGTGAGTGAGTGTGCACCTCGGTGTCCACAGCTAATCTCGCATTCTGCAGCAGCAAACTGCACAATAATGTACCACTTGTGGTTGTTCTGACTCACACTTTCTCAAAACACCGTTTACAGCTTTTTTTTATAGAACCACTGACTACGTTTAAATGCACCAAATATTCGTTGTTTATTCCGAAAAAGACAATATTCCTAAAGAGCCGTTTACATGGCTAATGAAAATTGATATTCAACTAATATTCCCGTTTCCATGCAGCCGTGCATATGCTTCAACATTTTTTTTTTTAAAGTTATCCACCGCTGGCGGACTTGTTTGACTGTGCGAACACAAAGTGCTGTAAAAAACCCCATTGAGAAACATATTGAAAATGCTCCCAAAACCAGAATAATATCGGCATATCCCGCATGTCTCAATTGAAAATGCCCATTTTGGAATAAGGCCGAATTCACAATATCCAAACGGAATATGATGTTACATGAACCTCATCAAATTTGGAATATTGTCATATCCGTATGTGTGAATGTCAACGTAGTCATTGACTGCCTGCTGACTCCTCACTCACTAACAGCTAACATAACTACCAGCACACACACTGCTGCGTACCTCTCAGCCACTGTTCCGTGGCTGACTTTTATCGCTTTGTTCGGTGTGTTCGGTTAACCGCTAAAAGCATACGGGACTACCAGTACACATAACTAATGTACCTCGATGCAACTCAGCTGCTGCTAAGCAGGCAGACATCTTAGTGAGGTTAATTTTGTTTTTGGAATATTGTATGACGTGTTTTATACACGACATATTAACAACATTGAGCCAATTGTCTGCATTCATCGCCGCTGGATTTTGAATTCAAACGTGTACGACGCCTTACAGGCCAATTGTGGGTTGGAATGTTGTTCATTCAATTGAAGTTGCAGACACACCTGCCGGAGATCTGCACTCTACTGAGTGCACCTTGGTAGTTTAATCCGTAGTTTGTTGCAGATTTTGTTACCTTTTAATAGAGCCAAGCCAGCTATTTTCCCCGTTTCCAGTATACTTACGCTAATCTAAGATAAGATAAGCATCTCTTGTCGGAGAGGTGTGATGTTTTTTTAACTATGTGTAATATTTGTTACATCCATACGCAGACACAAAATCACCATGGATAAGTTGTTGTTTGAGTAGATGTCACCATTTTAAAATATTGCTGCTCAAACACAGAACAATACTCACTTAAAGTAAATCCAAAATGTCACATTTCTCTCAGTCGTATTCATGCTCCATTCACAAATGTAAAAAAAGTTGTCAGCGGTTCTTCTGAAGCACTCGGGACTGGAAGGAGCCTCACATGCTGACCCTTAGGAGTGACACATTTCAAATGATCTCGTTTATACATTTTTAACATTTATCTTACAGAGTCTAGAAATTAAGAGACTTTTTTCAGCATCAAACACAAAGCAGAAATATGAAGGCTTCAGTTTTCTTATTTTATTTATACATTTTAAAGAACTGTTTTTAAAATGGGATCTGATTATTACTTATACTTTGGCAATATTTTCTTTGTCACACTTGTATTGTCTTTGTTTGTTATACAAATGCCAGTAAAGCATATTTAAGTGTTAGAGGTTTGGCGTTTGGTCCTGTTGTGGACGACAAATGATAAAAACTGAAATGTGACGATTAGAATGATGACAAAATATCTTTAACCTGAACATTTTAACTGATAGAATTCTTCCAAAAACTGCTCTCAGGACCCCCAAGTCGGCCAATTGGTTGGGTTCTCAATGTACTACGTGGCTGGATAGACTAACAGCAGATAAGACACAACAACTGGGGGTCATTCATGACACTCAAACCGTTTTATGAAGTATAAGACCCCCCCCCCCCCGCACGTCTCTGTCAACGCCCCCACC